GGGGAAGAATGCCAATGAATGTTGAAAGTATGGAAGATTTGAAGGATAAAATTAGAGAAGAGCTTAATTTTGATAAATTTGATCTTTATGCGGATGCAGATAAAGAGACTGTATTAGACAAGTGTACTGAAAATTGTAGAGTATTTGTATTTCAAAGAGAAGAAGATACGAAGGTTAAAAAAAAGAGAAAAGATGAGGAAAAAAAAGATGATAAATTAGATTCGTTAAACATAGAAAAGGATGATAAGAACAATAATAAGTATCTATCTTATAAACTATACAAAGAGTTATTAAAAGAATCAAATAGAGAGGAACCTGAGTATAATTATATAGTTAAAAGATGTAGTGAACATTCACGTAATGAAATGTGTACTAGATGTATGGAAAGAACCATAACTTTAGTTCCTCAAGTATATAGACATGTTGATTATGTTGAGTTTGATAATAAGGAAGTAGTTGAAGAGTTTATTGAAAGTTGGAAAAATAGTAAGAGACAACGGATTGGTCTTTTGGTGGGTAAAAAGATTGAAAAAGATAAAAAAATTAGAGGAATAGTAAGTGCTATTTGGAAAATTGAACAAGAAAATTATCCTGATGGTGTTCATATTCCAAAAAGTATTGAATATCCTTTTAAAGACTTGGAAATACTCGGTTTGATATACACCGATCTTCACTACAAAGAAAATAATTTATTTTCCTATAAAATAGAACAAGATTGTTTAATTTCTTCATTTGAGTTAATATTTTTTTATAAAATGAGTAAGTTAATAAAGAAAGATGATTTAATTAATGTTTGTGTAACGTTGGATGAAGAAAGTAATATTATATTAAAGAATTATATGATAAGTAAGCAGTTAGTGGCTTTATTAGATGCTGATATTCTTAAATTATGTAGTGATCAAACCGTTTTCCTTAATAATGACAGGGAGATACTTTATATGTATAAAAACGAGTATAATTATGATGAGTCTATTAAAGCATCACCGTTTGTACCTTTAGAATATTTTATAGTTACATCTGAAGTAGGTTTTTATCAAAAATCGTTATTTAAATCAAACTTATCTTTATCTGTTAACACACTTCGTAAACTTGCTGATTATTTTAATGGTGAGTATGTTTCATTTGATAAGTATAGTAATTTTAATGTGTTACTTGCAATTAGTAAATATAATAAAGATCTCGGTAACAAGTTACTTAAGAGTGTAATAAAAAATAATATTGAAGATTTTACTAAATTAACAGAAACAACAAAATTTAATGAGTTTATAATTCAGGTGGATGATGAAAGAGATATGGGATGGATTTGTAATGCTTGTACCTTTAAAAATACGAGTGGTAATTTAAAATGTAACGTATGTGGTGGAAGTAAATGAATTTATTTTTTCAATTTTAAAATAACAAATTTATACTTTTTTG